CGTTTTTTTTTTTTTTTTTTTTTTTGAGACGTCTTGCTCCTGTTCCCAGCGTGGACGTGCGAGTGGCGTGACCTTGCTCACTGGCAACCTCCCTCGCCAGGTTCAAGAGATTCTCGGGCGCGCGCGGTGGCTCCAAGCCTGAATCCCAGCACGTTTTGGAGAGGCTAGAAGACAACGGCGGATCACGAGGGTCAGGAGATGAGACATCCTGGCTACACACGGTGAAAGCCCTGGTTCTTACTCAGAAAACCAAGGAACTAGGCCCGGGTGAGGTGGCGGGGCCTGTAGTCCAGCTACTCGGGAGGCTGAGGGCCGGAGAAATGGCGTTGAAGCCCGGGAGGCGGAGCTTGCAGCTGAGCTGAGCATCGGCACTGCACCCAGCCTGGGACAGAGCGAGGAGACTCCGGTCCTCAAAAGAAAAAAAAAAACAAAAAAAAAAAAAAGAGATTCTCCTGCTTCAGCCTCCCAAGTAGCTGGACTATAGGCCGAGGCCACCACGCCGCTAATTTTTTGTATTTTGAGTAGAGGACAGGGTTCACCCAGAGCAAGACTCTGTCTCAAAAAAAAAACAAAAAACAAAAGATGTGGAAGATTTCTTATATATACTAATAAACATATACTAATATCAAGTGATCTCTATTAAGTGAAATAAGCAAAGTGCATACAGTGTTTATAGTATGCTATTACATGTGAGTAATGGAGAGATAAATACGCATTAAGTACTTATATTTAAAAGGCAGACAATGGAAGAATAAATCCCAAACTTCTACAAAAATAGTTGCTTATATGGGATGGAGGGCATAGGGATGGGAATGAGACTTCTATGAATATACCTTTTGTATAGTACAATTTTGGAACCTTATAAACATTTCACATGTTTATAAGACAGTTCAATAAAATAAAGCACTCCATAAAAATTAAAAACAAATGGAAACGAACTATCTAATGTCAGATTGGTGGTGTAACACAGAGAAAATAATTTCAAACGGCTTCTTAAGTATTTTGATTTTTTTTTTTTTTTAAGAGATGAGTTCAGGCTGGGTGAGGTGGCTCACGCCTGTAATCCCAGCACTTTGGGAGGACTAGGCGGGCAGATCATGAGGTCAGGAGATTGAGACCATCCTGGCTAACATGGTGAAACCCGTCTCTACTAAAAATACAAAAAATTAGCCGGGTGTGGCAGCGGGCGCCTGTAGTTCCAGCTACTTGGGAGGCTGAGGCAGGAGAATGGTGTGAACCCAGGAGGCGGAGCTTGCAGTGAAGCTGAGATCCCACCACTGCACTCCAGCCTGGGCCACAGAGCGACACTCTCCATCTCAAAAAAATAAAGAGATGAGTTCTCATTCTGTCACCCAGGCTTGAGTGCAGTGGTGATTATAGTTCACTAACTTCCAACTCCTGGGCTCAAGGGATCTTCCCACCTTATCCTCCTGAGGAGCTGGGACTATAGGTAGAGCTAATTTTAAAAATTTTCTTGTAGAGACAGGGTCTTACTGTGTTGCCCAGGCTGCTTGTAAACTCCTGACCTCAAGTGATCTTCCTTTGTCTCTCAAGGTGTTGGGATTACAGTCATGAGCCATCACACCCGTCCTTGATTGTACCTTTCTAATGGGGTATAGTCTAAGGACAAATAAAACTGCATAGAAATACGATTGCATTCATTCGTCTTATTGCTAGTAGTAATATTGATGTTGCTATTTTGAAACTATGATATAAGAACAAACAAATAAGTAATTATGTCAATAGCATTAGGAACCAAGATTTTTCAGTGTATGAGAAAGTGTTTTAAGGAGAAAAGATGCTTAGGATAAACTTAGCTCTGAATTAGATAGCAGTATGTATTTTTTCTTTTCAAAAATGTATTTTCAGCCTGGCGTGGTGGCTCACGCCTGTAATCCCAGCACTTTAGGGAGGCTAAGGCTGGTGGATCACCTGAAGTCATGAGTTCCAGACCAGCCTGACCAACGTGGCAAAACCCCGTCTCTACCAAAAATAGAAAGATTAGCCGGGCATGGTGGCGGGCACCTGTAGTCTCAGCTACTCAGGAGGCTGAGGCAGGAGAATTGCTTGAACCCAGGAGGTGGAGATTGCAGTGAGCTGAGATTGCGCCACTG